GCTGTGCTTCATGGAGTAGGTTAGTCCCGTCGAAGTATTTTCTCATGTGGTCGTCAATGAGACTTTCCAATATCTTCGATATCACTGGGAGTAGCGCAACTGGTCTGTAACTGGTCGCGTTCTGCCGGTCACCACCCTTGAAGATAGGGGATAGGATGGCTCGTTTCCATTCACATGGAAGTTTCCCTACATCAAAGGAGTGTTGAAACAGATCACTTAGGGGTTGGCAGAGACTTTCTGAACACTGCTTCAGGACGGATGGTCTTATGTCGTCGCAACCTGCAGACTTTCCCGAAGCCAACTTTCCCAATTTTATGAGTACCATAGCCGGGGTAATTTGAAATGTACCCAGCAGGTTTTCGCACGTTGGTCTTGCATTGTAATCTTGATGTTTTGTGAGGGTAAAATCCTCGTTACTGTTCAGTTGCCTGTGAAAGGCTAGACTGAATGTCTCTGCCATTTCAAGACTAGTAAGAGATTTCCCATCAGAACCCACTATATTGCAAGCTCCCTGGTTGGTCGGTTTTCTTTCAGACATAAACCTGTATAGGCTTTTGGGGTTCACGAGAAGCTTATTGGCGAGGTTTCTCTGAAATGTCCTTTTATCACTCCGGACTCGTATGTTACACCGATTCCTGAGTTCGAGGTACTCTTCATGTTCGGGTTGACTCTGCGATACTCGCCACGCAAACCAGGCTTTTCGCTTCGCCTGTAGAAGGCGTTGTGTCCCCCTTTTTAGCCATGAACGTTGCTTTCTAGCTTTAGGTGTGACCAAAGGAACAGTGTCTGAGATCGCCTGGTGAATGATCTCCTTTACCACTCTCCAGTGTTCTTCTACTGTAAGCTCTGTCCAATTTTTTGGCCAATTTGCTTCAGACAAAAGTCTTCGCATTTCGGTGTAATTGGCTTTGTTATAACACAGATAGGGCTGTGTATTGTCCCACTGTAAACGCTCGCAGAGGACTATGTCGAATGTTATGACCGCATGGTCACTACTACCTATGGGAGTAGTGATCTGAACGTTTTCCACTAGTAGCTGGTCACTAGTGAGCACGTAATCCAGTCTAGAAGACTTCCCATCTGGGCCCCATCTAGTATCCATTCTGACATTTTCGGTGAATCCGGCCTCCGTGATGGTATGCAGCAGATTTCGATCAAATCTGTCCTGGGCACATCCCATCATCAAGTTAAGAGATGGGGCATTGAAGTCTCCAGCTATGACAATTTGATCATAACCCATGTCATGTGTCGCTGAAATTGCATTCAGCAGTACCTGGTTGTGGTCTGCTCCACATGAAGGTGATCTGTAAATGCTGCCCACTAGATACTTACAGTACCCAACGGTGAAATGGCACCATATGGAGTCAGGGAGCTCAATGAGGGGAGGGTCGATTGCATGGACACATCTGAGCTGTTTGTCGACGTATATGGCGACTCCACCTCCTTCTTTCAGATCCCTATCTCGCCTGACAAGGACCATATCATTTATACTGACTTCGCTGTCTGCCACCGTAGGGGTTAGCCAGGTTTCCGTCAGTATTATGATTTTGGAGTTCAGCTGTGATTGTAGGTATCTAAGTTCAGCTATTTTGCCTCTTAGACCTCTCACATTACTGTACAGGCAACTGGTAGTCAGTCTCACCACGTCCCCGTATTGGGGGGTGGTTGACGTGATGTGGGCTGTCGGTTGAGGAGTTATCCTACGAACTAGTTGGCCGATTCCCCGGGAACCGGCCTGTTGGAGTTTTTTTCTTCTGATTCAATCGGAGCACTTGGATGGCACTGGCTATCATCGTCCGTGCTGCACCGCTGTATTGTGACTAGGGGTTGGGGGTGTTCTATGACAACGTTTTGCTCTCTCCTTTGGGTACGAGGCCGGCTCTCGCAGCAGCGAATGTGTCTGCTGACCTTGTCTTTGGTCTCGTACCATCTCTGGAGAGCAGTAGTCAAGTGGTCTCGGGAGCTAAGCTTAACAACTAACAGACGTGGGGTGTTAACTGACATTAGGTGAGTGGGTCGAGGCAGTCTAAAAATAGAGACAGCCCCTGAACTTCCCAGACCCATCTGGGATGCCAACCATCTCCATTGCTGGACATCGTGACAGTGCTTCTCACAAGCGTTCCCAGTTTCCAGTTCAGGAATGCCGTGAACAACCATGGAGGCAGAAGGAATAAGCTCTGGCGAGTCCCTCGCCATCTGTCTTTCCTTCCATGGCCTATCTGGCCTAACACGTATATTGCAGGTCCTCCCTATAGAAAGGACTTGGGAAGTCAATAAAACTTTTTCGGCATCTTCGGCAGAGCCTAGTGTTACCCTCAGTGGGGATGGTTTGCCTTGAGGAGCAGCAGTGCCCTTATACAATCTGCACAGTTTTACTGGTTGGATGTCCAGACCCAGTGTGCTACATAAGTTGGACCACTGTTCCTGATCAAACAGGGCCCTGTTTTCCAGCAGACTACTGCTACAGTCTGGTACATTAAAGAGGATAACGCAGTTTGATCGACTGACCGTGGATTTAGGTTCGGTCCTCGCACATTTGTCATCCCCCTTAAGACCGTTTTGTTTCATCTGGTGCAACTGGGTATTATTATGTGTCGCAGTGCTGTGGCCACTTTTACTGGTGGACGGTAAGGGTCTTTTCCCGGCGACAGGTACCCTTGGTGCTTCAACCTCTGTGTCTGGGGCAGTTATGGCAGGAATTGCAAGTATAACCGGTGTGGATTTTGGTATCCCCGATTTACATGCAATTGTGCTGTTTTCTGAGTTAGTGGGAGTGAAACGTTTCACGTTTTTTCCTGATATCTCTATGACATCTGTAGCTTTCGAGGAACTACACGAGGCTGCATTAGGACGGCAACTTGGGCAAATGTACCAGAACCATGGGCATGGGTTCTTACGCATAAAATCGTAATATACCTTTGGTACTCCGGTGCCACATCTACAATGTACCCATTGCTTACAAAAGTTACATTCGAAAGCAGAATCTGCTTGTTCGACAACAGAATTGCAGACCTTGCAATCGTCTGCCTTCTTGGGGAACGTTTTCGTCGTCTTGCGACGTCGTGAACGTTTCTTATTGGCCTTCCTGTTTGTTTCAAGGCCTACTGTGGATATAGGTGTCATACTATTCACCTGTTTGCTTAGTTTGGCTGAAGCTCTGGTGACTACGGTGCATGGTCTCCCATTACTTATCTTGGGATGAGAATCTATAGTCATTTTACTCCCAAAATAATACCAATGATTAAATGATAAGAGAGAGTGGAGTTTTGTCCAATAGACTGACAGCAAAAGACAGTAGAAAGCACAGAACAGAAAGATAAAGTATATAAGTAAAAGCTTTTGACTTTACCTGTAACTTTCGGGTTATTCGGCTTCACAACAATCACGTAACAGACCAACAAGTCCTGTATATTTGAAAGAGTGAGGGGGATGTTGCTACAGAAGTAGCACCTGAAGCTTGGGCAGTAGTTCGAGACAGTGGGAAGTACCAAACACAGGCTCGGTGAAGAAGAAATGGTTGAATAAAATTCGCCGGATAGGAAGATCAGGTTTCCCAAACGAATTATTCACAAAAGTGGATATTTCCTGTTAGACGGAAAAATGCACGTCGTATTCAAGGAGCGCGCGGTGACGTGGACGAAAATGACCTTTGAGCGTCCCACTCCATCAATGACCTTGTACATGGCGTTTAATTTCTGCCAACCATTTGTATGGTTGACGACTTGATGAATATAGCCCAGATTTGATAACTGACTGTAAATACTCCATTCATCTGCATAAATAGTCGTCCTAGGCAGCACTAAGCGCTAGATAATGGGCAATAAGGCATCTGCACTACGATTAGGGATTGCCTCATTGTATCCTTTGTGGAGGGTGGTGTCATATATGCCCAAAACCCACCGCTGATTTGCACTTAATCTCTCTCGATTATATTTTCTGTAAACTAAAAAAGAACGACATACCTTCTCGAACTGATTTTCTGGTTCGGCACTAATTTCACCAATAAAAAAACCAGTCGATGCACCTACTGTATCTTTGCATATGCGTGACACCTCCACATTGGCAATTTTTCGACCTTCCTATCAGTCTGTTCTTCAAACATTAATCAAAAACAAGATCTGGAGCGAATTTGCAACGCAAAAGGTGTACAGCATCCACAAGTACGTCTGGATAATACGGAGTCACCTGACTGGTTGCTCGAGGTCATTTGTCCGTTTGCTAGGTAGTTTCGGTTTGGGCTGCTATAGTTTATGTGTATATATATATCAGCTGTCTGTTTTACGTTTTCTTTATTTCTTTTTCTGTCTGTTAGTCTGAATACATTTACTAATTATATCTATTTGTGCGTCGGTGGCACAGCTGTTAGGACGCTCGCCGATCGTGCACATGGTTCGGGGTTCGATTCCCGGCCGACGCACACCTGATATCAATGGTCGGCCTGCAAAATTTGGGCTACCGATATCACATGCTACAAATTCCATACTTATATCAAAAATACTGTGTGGAGTCAAGCTATAATAAAATAAAAAATTATTATTATCTCTTTTCTTTTGACGACGATATCGGAGGACTTACCGGTGAAAGGATCAACTCCATCCACAGATGTAACAGTCTTAGCACTACTCATTTCGGAGTCAACCAACGCTACGATAATCGAGTGGCGGGACGAGCTACGCAGAAGTTTACCGAAGATCAGGAACCTATACCTCACAATCAAGAGGCGAGAATAAAGAAATGAAATTGGTTTATACTAGCTCGTAAAAGCGATACTGGATATTGGATTTAGTCTTCCATTTGACGGTGTCTGGTGTGTCACAAATCTAATGAGTTGATTAAAAGTGCCCGTGAAATGAATTTTGGACATAATCAATTAGTAGAATTTGTATACCTTAGCGAGTTGCCGGATACCGTCACCCCCATTTCTGAATATGCTTGCAGGTTGTGAGCTACTGGAGTGACCTTGTTCGCTCAAACTTAGATCCTGTCCTTCTGTTTTGTTGCGGATTTTCGAAACAACGGTTATAGCCGTCCTAAACTGGTTGTTTACGTTGAACGATGCTTTGCATTATAAATAAGCGAATTAAAAGGAGATATGAAAACCTGATTGAGACCTGCAAGCTTAAAACGAATGAGGTGCTGATTGGTTTCCAAAATATAATATAGCAGTTTTCATGTTTTCTTAGAGATCTGATGGAGCTTATTGGTCCGTATATAGTAAACTCTACTCAGAAATCAGAGAGTGACTTCAGGAGCAATCTGGAACGCATTGTCCTAGTTTCGGATATGGTTGATGATGAACTGACTAACCTTTTTTCAAGATGTCAGTCTGTTTTGGGCAACCGCATTAAAATGTTGACACCAGCACCTTTAACTGTAAGTTGTGTGACTTCCACCACAGTATTCATAGAGTTTCCTGTTTTTTAGACAGCCATAAGACTTTAGAACTTATGTAATGTGCTTAGGCTCGCAATTCCTTCTGCCAACAGGTATTTTCGGGCGTATTCCTTCAAGGAAGTTCTCAGGTTGATATCAACTTTCTCCATGACCTAAGCTAAGGTGGAGCTGCTTATGGACTTTTTCCATAGTTTTTTGGTCAGTTCTCACTTCCTTTTGTAAATTTCCTGGGAAGACCAGTCCTTGATTGAAGAAAAGAAACGGATATATCATACGGGAGATGCAGACGAGTGTATTTGAATAAGTGATAATTCTCAAGATAGAGGATCACTTCAAAAATATGACTGACACATGAAAATGTTTTCGAAAAAACTTATAGTCGTGGATATGTTTACGAAAATCTCTAATCATATATCATAGCCACAGCCAACCTCTTCGACGGAAAATAAAGGAACATAAATAGTGGCTTCCGTTAGTGTGAAATGAGACTGGTGGCGTTTCCAATACCTACGGTTGATGTTCCTTGCTTTTGTCGGTAGTCACATTCTCACATCAGAAGCGTATCTTATCACTTGTATTGAAGTTGAGGCTTGCTAGAAAAGTTGTAAAACTGAATTTTGATGAATAGTGCTTTGGGATGATTTGGAGACCGTGAGTCTGTCTTTATATCAGATACCAGGGAAAGAGAAAACATACATTGCGGTGATATCGGCTTCTGAATGTACCAGTATTGGCTGGTACATAATATTTACTCTCAATACAGTGTAGATAAAAAATGCTAGTTTACAGACATCTGTGTTGTAAAACATAACATAACTCGAATCGACTATTCATACAGACGCTGGTCTTTTTGATATGCCTTCAAAGTTTACAGATACAATGATGGCGAAAATGTATGAATGATAACAACGACCTATCTACAAATTCACATATAAGGTGGTTTTGATGTAATAGGACTCACTAGGAATGTCTTTAAAGATGAACGTCATGAGCAGTTAAGTTACCGGTTAAGTAACATGTAAGGTTTTGCTTTTCTGATACATGAAACTTTTATCACTAACGTCCTAAAATATGATAAAATGCTTTAGAGTAAAGAATGCTATTGGCAGCCATATATAATCATAAGGAGTACACCTCGTATTGCTACTATCTTGTTTCCGTTTGCAAATCATTAGATCTCGGAGACATGTTCGTCAAGTCTCCTAAACTTCCCTTATGTTTGTTTCTATGGTTTTAGTAAGATTAACATTTATTTTATTGTGCCTTTCATTTTGGAGCTGTTTGTATACAGTACCTTGCTTCGGATATCCCTGCTTAACTTAACGCATCATGAAATTCGTAAAAAGTTGTTTGGTGTTATAAATATAAGTAGATGTGCTGTATAATTGGAGATTATGTTTCTTTAAGACCATAGGTTATTCTGAAGTTAACTCCTTACCTATGGAAGCTTCTGCTAAGAAACTTTTGTGTCACCCGGTTGACGAAGAATACATAACATATCATTTGGCTAACTCGACTCGGCTTCTTTGCATGTTAGAAACAAATGTTGGACTGCAAGGCGTTGGTGGTTTATCGGAAATTTCTAAATTGCAACAGATATGTACGTGAGTAATATTTTAGTACGTTTTTCCTTGAGTTTCTTATTTTTTATATCGTGTTGGTTCATCACGTTGTGTAGATAAATGACAGTTTTCATTGTCGCATCAATACTAGGATTTCATAGATAAGATTGTTGCATCTAGTAATCAAGAGATTCTATAGCGAAGGTTAGTGTAAACTTCGCGTTCCTGAATAATTACGAGTTTCAAGGACATGTCACTTACTTGCACGACGTAAGTGCACAGTGTGAAAGTTAGTAGTTAGTTGCTGGATGATACTGACATCGGTTATTTTCATCACATAAGTGGATAGATCAGGTGGCCAGAAAAGATCAGCAACAGGGATCTTTGGGAACGAACCGACCAGGAACCGATTGTGAAACAAATAGGCAGGAGGAAATGGAGATGGATTGGACATACTCTTAGGAAACCATCAAGTGACATCACTAGACAAGCCATTGGTCGAGTGGAACCCAAAAGGGAAGCGGGGAGTTGGTCGTCAGTGGAAGGGTGACTTGGAGGAGGTCATGTGAAGAGGAGATGAAAACGTGTGGGCAAACTTGGAGCCAGGTGAAGACTCTAGCAGAGAACAGAACGCAATGGAGACGCACGGCTGAAGCCCTATGTTCCTGTAGGAATTAAAGGATACAATAATAATAATAATAAGTGGATAGATTAAGGACCAGCCAACTTTTGTCTATTTATTTATCAGAATTACTGTATCTGCAGCATAATCGTTACCAACTGCCTATAAGCGCATATAGTTCTTGATTAACTCAAAGGAAGATAAAGTATTAACGCGTCTGTGCCATTATTATCAATTTTAACCTACATCACCGAAGGCCTACAGTTTTAGATTTCGGTGGTTATGCGAACCCTGGTTAGGTAATTTGCAGTTTTTTGTACAGCTTAAACAATGATGAATTCATCGATTAATATCTCGTTTTGATCTAAACATTTATCTGTCTTTTTCTCCTAGTCTAATCATACTCGCGACAATATAGTACATTAAATTAGATAATAAGTAATCATGCGTAAGACATTTCCCAGGCAACCTAGGTAATTGTAATTTATAATTTCCTGGGATGATTACAAATTTACATCAAGCTCGTAAATGGTATGTGACAGTAGTAGTCGTATCAAGCGTGTGGAACATAACAGAAGCAACGATGTTTGAGTAGTTTTTCTCCATATGTCTTCTATGTGCATTAACTGTGTTTCACAGTCATACAGGGGGTGCGTAACGTATTTGTATGTAGTGTATTTAACACTCACAAGACAATATTTTTATTTTGTATAGTGTGAGCTTACTTAGGTATCTCCTACAAATTGATCAATCCTGGTGAAGTAATATGTAGAAAACTTAGATGGACATTATTTTCTTCTCTTTTGTGTACTTTCACGTGGATATTTTCTAAGTTAGGTAACTCGAACTGTTGGATTTTTGTGAAAAGTACTGCATTGCTTTAGTTACTCAGTAAGATCGCCTTAGACAATGATGGGGTATTCCAGTAAACTTCATTCAGTACGGAGGTATATATATATGTATATATATATAAAGCAGGTATCCTTCCCGGTGATAAAACTTTACTATAAAACTTATCCATCGATAGAGACAGAGTTAATCATATAGATACCTTCTGATCACTTACAACTCAGTTATTCTTTTACTTAGTTGGTGACAAGAGTTTCCACTTTTGTTGTTTGGTCATTGTCCAACTTGTTTTCAGTACATTTCAAGATTGAACTAACCAAGCTGAAATTTATGTTGTAGGTGGTTACTAACTCCTTAATGTTAATTAAAGGTACAACGATAATCTTGAAAGGTGTTTCACATAATAATCGGGTATTGATATTGTCCATCTGAGAGGCGATTTCGCTGAATTTATTAAAATATCCTGGTTTTCTTGTGTGTTCCACTGTTGTGTTCGAAACATCATTCAAAAAATAATACTGTTTTGTTGTGTGATATACCCAAAAACAAAACACGTAGTTCAGCGAAGAGTCTCTTTTCGGCGAATTCATTTTCTTAGCTGTACAGTAGCAAATATGTATGTTACAGGATTTTCATCATGAGCTGACATTAGTCATTGGGAAACCTGGGAGTACTGGACAGCTGTTTCGTCCTAGTTTGGGACTCTTCATCAGCATGCACCCACCGGGATTCGAACCCAGGACCTTCTGGTTACAAGGCGAGCTCGTATACCATTAAGCCACTGGGACTCGATCCAATGGCCCATAAATTCCAACTTCTGCCAATTCACGACATAGCGTGACCCCTAGCCAATGTCTTCGGTGAGTATTTGTCTTCACACCCGACCTGCTGCACCCTACTGGTCATGAATTCTCACTAGAACCCCAGGTAACTACCTACCTGAGTAGGGTCAGTCACAGCGGTAGAATGTTCGCCAACACCTCATGTGGTTCGAAGTTCAATCCATGGCCGATGCACTCCTCTACCTCGCTAAGCCAGAAATAATGCTAGTGAAGAGGAAAGGTTGGGCATGAGGCTATAGCAACCCCATCCCGTAGAAAATAAACACCACTGCCACTGAAACTTCAAAACCCTATGTTCCACGTAAAGGAATAAAAAACGTTTCCTCTGAAAACCAAATTATTCCGACGACAGTATGTGGTCTGCTTGGCACCATAAATCGTAGTCAAGAAGGCGAGCATAAGACTATGAGATGAGTAATTGCACACCACCGATACTAACCAGTAGTGCGTGCTAATTAGCCAGCTGGAGGTGATCTAAACACCGGAACGTCATATTCAGTTTTGTTACGTGAGTTTTGTGTTTCTCCAGTGAAGGAGTAAATATGACTAGTACAACTTGTGAACTTCTCTTTTCTTCTCTTCTGCATAACTTGATTATTTGTGATTGTAGTTTGCAGATTCAAGTAAATGACTGTTACTGGGCTTACAATCTCTCCATTTCTCTTTAACTTTGCCATCGATGACATTCTGGAGTCAGCTCTGAAGGATGTGCGTGAAGGTGGTGTAGATCTGCTACCTGGAGATAGACTTTTCGACCTCGAGTATGCAGACGATATAGTCTTACTGTGCGATAGCATTCAGGCTGCCCAAATCGCATTTAATCAGTTGGCGATCAGTGTCTGTAAGTATGGTATGTGCTTTGCACCATCTAAGTGCAAAGTACTGTTACAAGATTGGCAGGAGCCTGTACCTGCACTTACTCTTGCGGGTGAACCGCTTGAAGTTGTTGATAAGTTTGTGTATCCGGTTAGTTGTGTGAGTGCTGGCGGAGGGGTGACGGATGAGATTTCCAACCGTATAATGAAGACTAGGGTGGCATACATCAACTTGAGCCACCTCTGGCGGCGTCGCGACGTTAACCTGGCTGTCAAAGGTCGGGTATACAATGCTTCGGTGCGGGCTGTCTTGCTCTATGCCTGTGAAACCTGGCCTCTCCGAGTTGAGGATGTGCGGCGACTCTGCGTGTTCGATCATCGCTGTCTCCGCAGGATTGCTTGCGTTCGATGGCATCATTGCGTGAGTGTCGTCATCTGGAAACACCGGCTCCGGTGGCTTGGACATGTGCTGTGAATGTCATCCCAGAGGCTTCCGTACAGGTCTCTGTTCGCTAGCCCTGGGACGAGATGGAAAAGGCGGAGGGGTGGTCAGTCCATGAGGTGGTGTCGTGGGATGAAGGATATTTGTGCTAGATTAGCATCGGTTGGTGCATCACGACTCCCTGGTTGGGGTCTGACAGATAGCTCGAATCGATGGCTCGGAACATTATCGGATATGGCCGAGAATCGTAATCAATGGTGAACGTGTTGCAATTTCCTTCTTTCTTCCCTTCCTGATGATAGTTAACGAATACTGTTTGAACTTGTTAAACATGACTGTTTTCCTTCCAGATGAAGTTCCTTATCCGTTTTCTACTTATATTTTTACTTTTAATCTATGTTGTTTTATTATAATTGTGTGGCGCATCTTTCTTGGTGCCATATTGTACCAAGTTTTTTCTGCGTTTAAATAAATAAATAATATAATATAAATAACTGGGCTTACAATTCAACTGTATGTATGATTAAATCTTGATGCAGTATTTTTAGTTTTTATATTTATGACTTTAAAATCACACTTAAACTTTTTCATAAAGCTGGAGGAAACAACGGAATAGCATCAAATTGTACTGAAGAATATTTAAGCGAATTGGAGAAGGAATGTAATAATCTGGCCTCAGAACTGGCTGATTTAGAATACTTGGAAATTATGCAAAACAAGGCAATCAAAGAGAAGAAGTATATGGATGAAGTAAGTTTGTTCTTGAATGCGTGCTAATGTTCTAGTGAAACATCAATTTGTCAAATCATCACACACACAAGAATTTTTATTTAACTAACTAATTTGATGAATAGAGGTTCTAGTGTTGCTTCGTTATAACTCGTAAATTCCAAGATATACCCAACTATGTGTACACATTAGTTGTTTATATAAAATATTCTCCAAAATGTATCCATCAATTGTTGTTGCTTCTTGTACTCCCCTCTTGTTTTCATGTAACAAACAATCGAATACATTTAATAGTGTCGTACTACACCATTAAGTAAAACGTATATACTCTACCTGTTGCTGTTGTTGTTTCTCCATATTGGATAGATTTATTCGGTGTAACATAACTTCTCAGGTACAATTTATTCTTATAAGGCAGAAGGTGCTTACATGATCTTTTAACTTTCTACGTCTATTTTTACTAATATCCCGTGATTAACATTACCTTTACCCTACCCTAGATCCACCCTATTGTATATGTTATTGTAATATTGTAATTGTTATTGTATGTGGCTCATTGTCTTAAACACTCGATTTTGAGTCCATGGGTGAAAGGTCCGAGTCCTGCTCGGCATTCTCCAGCATGGGCAACTAACTGGGGGTAGTATCATCAACCTTTTTTTTTACACGATAAATGTGGCTATTAGTCTACTACATAAAATCTCAGCTTAAACTGTGATTCTAAAGCATTAATGGAGGTGTTTGAATTATTTTTAGATTACCTATCTTAACGGGGTCTATATTTCTAAACCTCGCTAAAGTTTTGTAATCCAGTGGGTGCATACTGCCGATGAGTCCCAAACTAGGACAAAACAGCTGTCCAGTACTCCCTGATATCAATCTTTGATCAAACTTGAAACAAATCAAATCCCTACAGATAAACTCTTTAAAATTAATCTGATGCTGTCTAGTGACTGGCTGTAGGATGGCGTTTCTTGAACTTCTAGTGGGAAGTCGTAACCAGTGGAGTTCACCAGGTCAACATTGAGGACAAATACTCGCTACCGATGATATTGGGTGGTGGTAGCGATAAAATCAAGAGTTGGTAGGAGTTAGAATTCATTTGCTGACCATTGAGTTGGGACGCAGTGGCTGAATGATCTATGAGCTAGCCTTGCAACCGGAAGACCCTGGGGTCGAACTCCAGTAGGTGCGTACCGATGATGAATCCCAGGCAATACGATGAGTACTGTGGAATCTGTCAATTCCTTATTAGATCTATTAAGGACTTTATTTGCATTAGCGCTTCCTCTAATGACAGGTAAAATCTATCAAACATAAATTGAGTGTCCTTGTATTACTTGAATGAGGATGTTCTTTGAAATTGATTGTGTTTTGTACCTGTCGCCAATTTGCTATGATCTCGTTGACAGTGAACATGACCTAGTGGATTTATGCATGGGTAAAATAGTATTGATGCAATGAACAACTCAACTGATATGCTGAATACGCCTATTCGTCCGTGGCACCTTCTGCTTTATTTAGCCGCGTAAATATTAAAAGACAAAGACTGGCCTTGGACTGTTAAGATACTATTTTATTAGAAAAAATACATCATAACTATATGTTTTTTTTAATACATTAAAATCGGCCCAGAGCAGTGGAAGTAGTTTGTTCTGATTGGTTGGCGATTTGATCGAGACCGAGGTGAGAGAAAGATGATGAAATTTCATAGTCATCCGATCACACGATGTAACATAAGATAATTACTATTTCAAGCTGATTCCTATCAGATTGGAGATCAGTACAACTGAAAGTACGCGGAGGAGTGACTTTTAACTGTCAGCGGGGGTGGGGTGGAGTGGTAATTACACAGTGTGATTAGTTTACACCGCTTTTTGAGCACGCAAACTTCAGTACTGTCTGCTGATAATCATTCTGTATCATTGTCTCCCTCACAGTCAATTTATCTGGTCAATGATTTGTTTTCATGAAGTGGTTAATGATGAATTCATATTGACTTGGTTCAGTTATGCTTTCTCCTTCCTCGCTACTCGTCCCGTCCAGTGTTGTCCACAGCTGACTTGTCTCTCTGTGAACTAAGCAAGTGTGATTACATGACTGACTGACGTGTTTAGCTGCAGACGAGCTAAGCAACTTTCTGATGTTTTTAGGTTATTTTGGTCTGACTGGTGAATAAATCTTCTATTCGATGGCACTCGTCATCAACTGGTCATGTCACTCAGTTGTATCTGTAGTCTTATGATGCTTAGTAGGAATATTGATCAGCAGAGTAATTGTAAAATATTCGAATTATTATTATATTATTATTATTGTTCCCTCGGGTTCCTAGTGGAACATAGGGCTTCAACTACACGTCTCCACTTGCTTCTGTCTTCTTGCTGTGCTTTTCACCTGCATCCATATTAGTCCATACTGTTTCATCTCTTCTCCACACGATCTCCTCCATGTCACCCTTGGACGTCCCACTCACCGCTTCCCTTTCGGGTTCCACTCGAGCACTGGCCTGACGCGCGATGTCACCTAGTGGCCTGCTCAGCGAGTGGCCAATCCATCTCCACTTTCTCCTGCATATTTGTTGTGTGATTGGTTCTTGTTTTGTTTCTTCCCATAGTTTCTTGTTGGTGATTCTTTCCGGCCATCTGATCTTGAGTATAGGACGAAGACAGTTGTTGATAAAGGTCTGCAACCTGTTGGAAATATTCTTTGTAACCCGCCAAGTTTCTGATCCGTATAGAAGAAGAACTGACTGACTTGACGTTTGTATTGAAAATCCGAATTTTGTTGTTGATGTTGAGTGACGAAGATTTCCAGATTGGTGGGATGTTGATGAATGTGTTTCTCGCCTTCCCGATTCTCGATTTGACATCGTCGTCCGTTCCTCCTGTGGTTGAGACAATGCCCGCTAGATAAGTGAATGAAGTAACCTCTTTCAAATCCCTTCCGTTGATGGTGATTGACGCTGGATGTTGCTGCTGCTGTTATTGGTTGGTCGTCTAGATTACTAGCTCGCTAGTTTTCTAGCCGGTCCCAAGCCCGGATAAAGAGGGAGCGTTGGGGCGTGGTGCTAGCAACTCCGACCCCAAAACTTAACCAAATTGCTACAGGAACTTCAACGCATAAATATATTAAATATACTGAAAATATTCGAATACAATACAAAATAAATTCACCGATCTAGTACTGATAAGTTAGCTAACGATAATTAGTCAATATCAACATTTAGGTGGGCAGTGTGTGCGTGATAATTGACCAAGACAGTAATTCCAAAAATCATCTGTTCTTAGAAGTGCAGTTTTTCGGTGGTCACATCAGCAAAATAAGTAACACAGCACCTGAAGAATGCAGTTAAAAGAGCATTCACTGCAGCTGTGGTACACTGTTTCTTCACAACTACTGCAATTTCACGTTCGAGAAATAAGGAAAAACTGTCTAACTTCGCTTCTTCTCTGTGTATCTACCAGTCTGACTGCTTCTGCGGCATACAATTAAACAGGTTCTTCATCGTATTTCCAAACATCATCCTGCATGGTTAAGTCAGGGACAAACAAGATCCATCCATAGCTCCTTTTTAGCACACCTTGTAGACAATGAGCATAAAGTTGATGTTAATGTAGCATTTAAAGTTATCTATCGTATTCCAAATAATCTTAATTTTTCTTTACGACTTCATCTTCTACATGCAGCTGAAGCCATCGGAATCTATCTCAAGAAGCCAAACCTGTGTGTTTACTTTATTCCAAATAATTAATAATAACAAGAAATTCATACAGCCGCTTTCCTTACCTTGGCCATCGTTATATGAATTCATAAGCTGGACTACTTCGCGCTCCCACCTAAACCTTTTAAAAATTATAATTCTCCAGGTTACTGTATTTTCTTTGACCGCTTCATCTTCAATTACAAGTTATCATTGTTCAAACTACTTTATTTTTATTCAAGTATTGGTTTGTAGGGATTTGATTAATTGATTGCAAGATTTCATCATAAGATGACATCGTTAGAGAACCGTTGGGAAACCTGAGAGTACTGGACGGCTGTTTCGTCATAGTTTGGGACTCTTCAGCAGTACACACCCACTGGGGTTCGAACCTAGGACCTTCTGGTTACAAGGCAAGCTCGCAGACAATTAATCCACTGGGATCCGATCCAGTGGCCCTTGAATTCCAACTTCTGTCAATTCACGACATAGCGCGACCGCTAGCCAATGTCTTCAGCGAGTATTTGTCCTCACACCCGACCTGCTGCACCCTATTGTTCACTACTTCCCACTAGAACCCCTACCTGAGTAGGGTCAGTCGCTAGTGAGCATCTCATTGATATTCAAGTAGTGGTTTGTAAGGATTTGATTAATTGGTTGCAGGATTTCATCATGAGCTGACATCGGTTAGAGAACCATTGGAAAACCTATTACATAATCAACTTGAACACTCACTCATTCCTTAATTACTCTTCATATTTCCAAAATCACGCCTCGGTGGCACAGCGGTAGAATGCTCGCTGACCACGCAGGTGGTTCAGGGTTCGATCCACGGCCGACGCATTCCTAAACCACGGTAAGCCAGTAATAAGACTGGTAAAGGGGGAAGTTTGGGCATGAAGCTAGCGACCCTATCCCTTAAAAATAAATCCTACTGATACCGAAACTTCAAAGCTCTACCTTGAATCCCTATTCCCCATTTGGGAACGTGAAGGAATATTAGAAAAAATATCACCAAAATTATGCAGTATGCAATCCACTTGCTCTAACCATTTCTGCCTTTTATAATTGTGTGTATTAAGTTTCTTCGTTAATTATCACCCCTTTAACACGTTGATACTGACTAATTATTGTTAATAGACATATCGCCACTTGATGATTGGTAAAATGTTGTGTATTGTATTAGAAATGCGATGCATATATATATATAAATATATATTAGAGTAGAGCCAGGGAGAGATGAGGATCTAATTGAAAAGAAAATATTTCTCTACTCAATCATTCTGCCCTCTAAATATCGAAATGGGGATATTTTTTCAATATTGAAATATTCGAATGTTTTCACGGTTTGTGATGAAACCTTACAGTTTTGATTGTTAATATATTGAAGTGAATTAATCACATTACGATAGTATAAAAGTTAAATTGTTTTTCTATAATCCTATTTGTTTTATTGTTTTATAGCTTGAAAAAATTCTTATCAGACAAAACTCTTGGCTAAAACTTCTAACATGCATAATCACCTTGGAGTGTGATTCTTGTAAACAAGCCTCAGAATCTTTGGTCAGTCTATTCCAGTCTATTCAAACGCTTAAAGATCATACTGAACAGGTAGGTATGAAGGATTGTAATGATGTTGGTATTGTTTTTTTTTGTAAATTTTGTGGTTGGGTTTTTCTTTCATTTCTTGGAAATACGTTTTGGTTAGTCATCTCACCTCTACTATTGATATAGACACCTATTTTCAAATTGTTGTTGTGCTAGTTTCAAGTAGGGATTAAAACCGTGATATGAGCAAAATAGACAGGGAGTTGAGATAAAAAAAAACATCGGTGGTTCAGCGGTAGAATGCCCGCCAACCATGGATGTGATCCGCGGCTAGGTTTTTGGCCGGCGCACACTTTTATCTCCCCCAGACAGACGGTTGTGAGCCCAACAAAGAGGGGAAGTCGGGAGTGAGGCTGGCAACATCAGCGCTACTGAAAATTTGAATCTGAAGCTTGAAGCCCTATGTTCCAGTCGGAACGTGAAGGAACAAAATAGGAACAATGAATAAAATTAAAAAAAAATAATATTTTTATTCTGGACAGTATTTGTAAAATATACGGAATTTTCAGAGGAGTTTATTGCATAATGCTTTTCCTTCGTACAATATATTCAAGTAAAATATTAATTGACAGTATATCCTGTGACACAGTGGTCTCTAAACTGAAGCATAAACCATTCTCTTATGATATATATGCTTTGTCTCCTTCAAGAAATCCACGATATATAGTTGAAATCCAATTGTACGATGTTCAGAAGTACACTTTCGGACCCAAGGACACAACTGAAGAACAGTTATCTCATGTTGTATTGGAACACGTTTCTACCCAGAATCAGGCCTTTCCTCAACTTTAGTAGGAAATTGCGAAATACAGACTTGTAAATATTTTAAATACACACAAGAGTAGATAATACCAATAGAGGTCATGTTTTGATCGATTAAAACAAACCTACCTAGAGAAAATATATGCAATAGAGAGATGGAAGTTTTTGGTAGCCCCATTAGTTTTAAGCAGGCCGCCAGTGTAAACATAATGGGAAAATAGTTATTGAGAAGATTGACTTTCAAGAGTTCGTTCGTAAGCATTAAATTTGTTTTCACGAGTTTGACCACGGGTGCGTACTGCCGATGATTTCCAAACTAGGATGAAACAGCTGTCCAGTACTCCCTGGTTTTAATGGTTCTCTAACTTATATCAATCCGTGGAAAGATTGACTGTTTATATTGGCCATGGTAAAGGTAGCAGTTTGATGTACTTCTTTTGAATTCATAGTGTCAACTTGAAGCCTTGGATCCCTAATGCTTCAGCTATGTCCAGATGTTTTGATTTCACTCCCTCTGAGAGGTGTAATCAGGTCTTGTATAGGACTTTGAAGGATTTTTTAAATGGAACTGAGTCTCCTGAGTTCACCAGATATTCTGTTACTGAGCTGTAAACACACCTAATATCTCCTTTCGCTAGCCAGTCTGGTCAGTGTTCTCAAACGTGTTTTTACCAGCGGACACATGGTATGGCCAATGTACTCAGCTTGACAAGGGCAAGTGAACTGGTATCTGCATGTTGAGTGAGACAACTTATCTTTTACGTGTTGGTCGAATAGTTTCTTGGAAGAAAATGTTATTCATCAGCTGGCAGTGAAGTATGTTTTACTAGGGGATTCGAAAAGCCATTTTTGGAAAATTTCTGCCAGAGGAAACGGCTTTCAAAATTTTTCAGCATATATTTCTTAAACACTTACATGTTTCCTGGAACAATTAGTTTTTGTTTATCAAATGAAATACGAGTCGTATTTGTTTTGTTTTCGAATAGAGCGCTGCAGTTTATTCAGTGTGTTTTTAAAAAGTTCGTAAAGTAATGGATAGTGAGTAACAGCATACTCATCTATTCATCTCTAATCAGTTAAACAATTCTCTAAAGAGCTTTACACACTACTCAACCGATCAATCTATAAAAAAGAAAATGCTTCTATTGGCTGTATATCATACATCATATCGGGAACCATTTACCATCCTAATATGTTTTTTTGGATGGGCCAAGAATCCTTCAACAGAATTTGAATGAATTCCACTCATAGGATCCAGTAATTCAGAATAATGGTTGACTTTATGATGAATATAGCCTAATGATGATAATTGCGAATAACCTTTCCACTGGTCTGTGTGAATGTTAGTGCCTAGGAGGACTATTTGTTGTATGATTGGTATTGTATTATTGAGATGCGTTCCACTAACCTTCTTCGAAGATTTGTATCGTACAGTACCAGCGCCCAAACATAGTTTGCTCTTCTCCTACTGCGATTCAGTGCTGTTTAGTGAATATGAACAATGACACCAATTCCTCCAGCTACAGAAGTAATTCCGTTGATCTTTCATGAGGCAATATCTCAACAGTGCTGATACCACTGCACTGTTGACCAGAGTTATTATCCCTCCAGATATGCGTGTTTTAGTCCACATTATCAACCCATTTTCCACACAGAAGTCCAAATACGGGTGAAACTTCTAACGAAGATTATGAATAGTGTCTATTTGTAACGCTGAGCGATCTGATTGGATGGTTCAGGATCATTTAACTTTGTGGTCTATTCTTTAGTGTTGCCCTCACTTGTTGTTATCTAACGGCTAATGATGCAAACCTGGTATGTCTATGAGTATTCTAACCCATAGAAAATCAAAACAAATGATTCAGCGAAGAGACTTTTTTCAACGAATTTATCATCAAGCTGTACAATCGTATATATATGGTTTTAAGAAGTTATATCCGGTGAGGGAATTGAAACATAGGTGTGAAGGCCTAAAATAATAATAATAATATGAAATGCAATTAAAACTAAAATGTTTGTGATTATAATCGCGGTTAAATGTCAAGAGGCAAAGCAAATTAATGTCATATATAGAATAATTCATAGGATGGATAGAACTTGAAAAGGTGGGCAATTATAAGATTAGTAGACAAATCGAATAAAATAAAAACGTTACGTAATATTGTGTGAAATTTAATAGCATAGAATTTAATGTTGCATAAAGGAATCGACTTAGAATGACAAATGGAACCAGTAAAATAATACTGGGGCCAGTTAAAAGTGCGAGTAGTAATAGTAACAATTGACTTAGTAAGGAAGAGTATACAAATTGAATAGACAAAAATGAAAAAATGGAGACTGGTAGAGCTAAAATATGATTGGGGATTACCATACTTTAGCATAGAGGGATTAAGACCATGAAAGTTGGAGGGGTTGAACTAACTTTTTCTGTACACAGAGATCTGGCTTTTCTGTTTCGATAGCCAAAGCTTCAGCAATACAGATGAGTCGGGTACGTAGGGATTTGGGTAAATTACTCTTTGCCTTGTAGATGACTTTAAAGACTGAGGCTGTAGAGACAAGGTGATCATTATTGACCAGATGTTCAATGATCGCGCTTCTTATTGCTCCACTTCCACCTTTTCGTAACCATGCAGGATAGTGTTCTTGCACCCTCTTGGACAAAACTCGTGTCGAGCGACCGATATACCTAGCTCCACACGAGCAGGTGAATTGATAAACACACATAGAGTTGGTCAACAGCGGGATCTTGTCCTTCAGGTTATTGAACAATAATGGTCGACTAATAAAGGCTATTCTCAGGGATGCAGCAGGGAATGTTCTTTTCAGGGACTGTGATATCCTTCGTTTCATGATATCAGAAGCTAAGTCCCCTTTGAATTCCAAGCTCATGTAAAGTATCTTCTTGGGTATGGTTGATAACTCACGCTTTTTAGGATTTGAATGTATATTGTTATCTACAAAACGTGGTGGAAATCCATTTTCTATTAGGATTTTCCTCAAGATGTATAAATCATCTTCCACAGTATCGGGGCTACATATGCGCCGAATACGAGTGGCAAGCGACCACTTGTCATTCTAAATCGATTCCTTTATGCAACATTAAATTCTATGCTATTAAATTTCACACAATATTACGTAACGTTTTTATTTTATTCGATTTGTCTACTAATCTTATAATTGCACACCTTTTCAAGTTCTATCCATCCTATGAATTATTCTATATATGACATTAATTTGCTTTGCCACTTGACATTTAACCGCGATTATAATCACAAACATTTTAGTTTTAATTGCATTTCATATTATTATTATTATTTTAGGCCTTCACACCTATGTTTCAATTCCCTCACCGGATATAACTTCTTAAAAACCATATATATACGATTGTACAGCTTGATGATAAATTCGTTGAAAAAAGTCTCTTCGCTGAATCATTTGTTTTGATTTTCTATATGTTACAATGGGAATTTTCCATGATTATTCTAACTTAACCATGATTGTTTTAAGACAAACCATGAATGAATCTTCTGTCTTTAATAATTTAGCTTGAAAGTTCATTGGACATGTCTTCATCGAAAGACGGTTCTATGGATCCTGAGAATGACTCAAAGTTGTTTGCAGATGCAGTCGTTCAACTATTACAATGTAAGTCATATTATTATTAGTGATTTATTCATGCAATGGTTTTACTTATTGTGTTTGAAATGAAATCATCGTGTTTTTAAATCTGCTGTTTATATAAAATTATATGGCAGTGATAGTAGCTGATAAATAATTTCTCGTGTACAGAGATGAAAACGAAAATAGAGCCACACCTTTCCCAAATTGTTAAGGAAGTAACTGTTCTACTGAATTATATATAAGTAGTATGTGTACAAATTGTAGTAAAAGTGAAGTGTCATGGTTGCAATCTAGGCAACTCACTTGTGTGATGAACAGCAACGTTTTGAAACATTTATTTAGTGTTTTTCCCTCTATCCAGTTTATCAGTGTTTAATGTCGTTGAGCTTGATACTCTTTTGAAAGCTTCCAGTTTTGTTTTTTTATATTCCTCTGCGTACCGGGTGGAACATAGGGCTTCAAACTTGTGCTTTGGAGTTTCAGTAGTAGCGGTTTTTAATTTTTTTTTCGGGATAGGGTTGTTAGCCTCACGCCCCCCATTATTCCCCCTTTTCTCGAGCTAACACCGGTTAAGCAAGGCTTAGGAGTGCGTCGTCGGTGACCGGGAATTAGACCCCGGACCACGTGGGGCGTGATTGACGACCATTCTATCATTAAACCACCGATTCGCCAGTGCAACCAACAATTTCTTTTTTACTCTTTGCAATAAAACATCTTTTAAAGTGGCAAATCAAAAACAACTGCTATTATTATTATTGTTCCCTTAGGTTTTGAGTGAAACATGGAGCTTCAACAGAACATCTCCTTCTTTTCCTGTTTTATGCAGTCGTCTGTAGCTGTCTCCACATTTGTCCATAGTCTCTCATCTCATCTTCGCACGATCTTCATGTCACCCTTGGACTAACTCCAAACTCACCATTTCCCATTTATGTTCCACTCGAGCGCCTACTTGGCACGCGATTTTACCCAACGGTCTCACCAGCGTGTGTCCAACTCGTCTCCATTTTCTTTCAAATATCTGTTGAGCAATATGTTCTTGGTCGGTTCATTTCTAGGGTTTCTTGTTGCTTATCCATTCTGGTCATCCGACCTTCAGTATCGAACTAGCGAAGGCAGCTGTTGATAAAAGTCTTCAGCGGTTTGCTCCGAAATGCCTTTTCTTGACTCTGACCCATATAGAAGAATTGACTGACTTAACATTGGTTTTGAAAATCCGAATTTTGTTATTTCTGCTGAGTACAGAATGACGAAGGTATGTTTTACCTTTCCGATCCTAGTCTGTATTGACATCCTCATCCGTGATATTACCTGTAGTTGAAACGATGCTGTCTAAATAAGTGAGGGAAGTTACCTCTTTCAATGTTATTCTGTTGACAGTGATTGGTGCTTATTATTGCTGGTTGGTTATCCTCATTACCTCTGTCTTTCCAATGTTCATTTGAAGTTCTGTCTTTTCCTCCAGGCTCTTCTGCCAGTTTATTGGTTTTCGCCTGTAAGTCTTCGAGTTTCTGTGGCATCAGACACAAGTCATCCACGCGCGAAATCCAAATCTTCCAGAGTCTTCTTATCGGTCCAACGTATTACTGTCTTCTGGCTCCCCACTGATGATGTTCCACATAATGCACCCCACCACAATCAGGAATATCGTCGGTAATAGTAATCAGCCATTCCTTACACCTGTATTCACTTCAGTGGCTTTGCTGAGTTTTCCGTTGTGGATCACGTGACTCTTGGCATCATCATATACCTGTTGAATGAGGTTGATGAACATTTGGGGGCAATGCACGCCATAATGTTGAAGTAGCTTCCAAATTACTTTGTGGTCAACACTGTCGAAGTCGTCTTCGAAGTTGACAGCCACTCTATACTCTGTTCGGTGTTGATGATGCGTAGAGTTACTGTTTGATCCGCACACATGATATGCTTTTCCAGCCTGTTATGGTTGGAACTCAGTAAAAGTGAGACACGGTAAAGCTTTGCATACTTTATAGACGGTATTGTAAACATGAGTGTAAGTGGAATTTTAAAGTTTATAATCTACAACTTTGGTGGGCCAAGTGTATAGTCGAATACATCTATCCAGAAAAAGTGTAGTCAGAGTGTACCAACATTACTTTATTCATCAACATTTCCAGTACCAGTGTAAATTTGATGAAAAATTGACATTAGTCAGAGAATCATTGGAAACCGATGGATGTAGCGACGAAGACCGATGTGTTGTAGTCTAGACGCAGAAAACTAATCTAGGCGTTCTACTGTGTATAACCAACCAAAAACTTCCTGAGTTAGATACAGTCCCGAAATATCCTGACGACAGAAAAAACAGAGTTATTTGCGATAAAATTTGTGGCGCTATTTTAAACGATAACAATAATAACATTAAAACTCAAAATTACCGTGGAAATACCGTTAGGGGTTACCTTACAGGTCAAGAGTTTTTCCACTACAAAACAATGGAAAAACTCCATTACAAAACAGATGATTTTACAGGACTGGACTACACTGACTCCTAGTTTAGAAATAGGGAGTGAAGTGATAGAGCACGTTGACCGCTTCACTTATTTGGGAAGCTGCATCAGTTCCAATGGGTTGATCTCTGACGAAATCTCAGCATGGATACATAGGGCTAGTTTCGCAAATGCCAGTTTACACCGTCTCTGGCGTAGACGTGATATCCGACTATCGACCAAAGGGCGTGTGTACTGCTCACCAGTCCGCTCCGTCCTCCTTTATGGCTAGCTGTGGGACCTGACCATTGAAAGTGGAAGACATGAAAAGATTAGCTGTCTTTGATCATAGGTGTCTGCGTTCTATATCCCTTGTGAAGTGGCATAATAAGGTGAGCAATATTGAGGTTAGGCATCGGTCGAGTGCTAGGTAAGGAGGGGAAAACAATCAACGAGGCTGTGAAATTACATCGACTGAGATGGTTAAGACATGCGTTGCGTATGACTAGTCATCGTCTTTCTTGATGGGCAATGTTAGCTGATATAGGGTCAGGCTGGAAAAGAGCTAGTGGCGGTCAAACCAAAACATGGCATCAGTCAATGAAATCCACAACAGTTAGTTTAAGGCAGTCACGTAGGAAGGTGTAGACTTCCTGGTTGGTGTCCTCGGGATGGTAAGAACCAATGAAGGCTGGAGAAAATTGGTGATGTGGCTCGAAGTCGTTATCAATGGTGCAGATGCATCCACTCCTTGTGACTTATGACTTCAAATGAAACTATGTCGTTCTTCGTTATTACTATTCCTTTGTCTCACACCTCTGTTTACTGTCTCTATTATGCATTGCTTCTACTTTCTTCTCTTGCTTTGTGTATTACATGGAGGGAGAGTGGCAACTGGAACAGCTGCACATCGGTGCAAAGTTCTATGTCGAAAACACAGACAGACAGACCATTACAAAACAAGTAGTGTAGAACAAAATTAGTTAACCAAAAAATCAAATATAAACAAGAGGTACCTGAGAATCAAGTGTGTAATGTTCCCAGCTAGTTGGGATCATAACTCTGTCACAGACAGTCCAAGGTGAAAATCCCCATGGCAAACCTTGACTCCTAGCTTAGAAATAGGGATTGAAGTGGTAGAGCGTGATAACCACTTCGCTTATTTGGGAAGTTGCATCAGCCAACGCCAGTGGGTTGATCACTGACGAAATCTCAGCACAGATATAGAAGGCCCGTTTGACATATGCTAACTTACTCCACCACTGGCGCATCAGGTCTCTCTGTCCTTCTTTATGGCTGTGAGGCATGGTCCCTGGAAGTGAGATATGTGAAAAGACTGACTGTCTTTGTATGACAACAGATGTTTGCGTTCTGTCTTCCATGTTAAGTGGTTTGGTGCGGTAATGTTCAGTGTAGAGTGTTAGGTAAGGAGAATAAGTCAATCGATGAAGTTGTGAAGGTGAATGGATTGAAATGACTAGGACAGGTGTTTCTCATCTCAGGTTATTGTTTGTTTTCTTGACATGTAATTTTAGCCGACTTCGGGTTAGATTGGATCACTAAGACTTGTGACCGGTCTAAGAAATCTGACTGGGTTACTGGTGATTCTAAGAATAAATACGTGGAGATTGTTGGTGATATTGCTCAAAATCGCTCTCAGGAGTGCATATGCATTCACTCTCTGTAATCTCCCACATCCAATAAACCATCGTGTGTTTTTCTACGTTACTATTCTTCTTCTCTCACATTTTTACTTAAAATAATAGAGATTTGTAAAGGATAATTCTGAAATGATGGTAGAATACTAAGACACTATTTGAAATAAACATGGCATATAAGCCAACACAGTCACTTCATTCAACATTGTGCTGCAAACCAAAAAGTCCAACAGCGAAAGAAGATAAGATCGATACAATTTACTAAATAAATTGGATGAACTACGATAAGCACTACATTAGCCAAAGTGGGCATCTTTCATATCGATGCATACAGACAATCATGGACACCAATTTGATTGGGTGGATGTAAAAAAAATTTAAGTAAAAGGAAAACCGAATAAATGTCAAGGAGTTTCTAGAAGCCTGCTCCTCAAATAAATGAGCGATTAACAAATACATCACCATAGATGAAATTCACCAACTAGTAAGGACCTATGTTGGACCTATGTTTCGTGGTAATATCAACAATTCAAAGTGTACTGTGATGGCGACGTACCTAGAATGGTGGCCACATTACAAACCTGACTGATAGAATTCAGTCTGCACCGAAGATAGGATTAGACACATTACACTAGTTACCAGTGTCCAGTAATCAAAGTATCCAATACCGTCGTATAGGAAGGAGGTCAATCGAGAGCCCGAATAGCTAGCTCAATGGTTACGTCTCTGACTGCAGCACTGTGTGATGCGGGTTTGAACCTCAGAAGGGACATGAGTTCCTTCAAGGTTGCAGATACGCCACTCTGACTGGTGAATGCCTACTGGTAAGAAATCTAGGTCTAAGGCTTCCATCCTATTACCTCCAGCCATCGAAATCACATTGCTGCTTATTATCGTTCTTTCAAATCTCTCTCCCTCTTTCGTCTTCCTTTGTGTGCTGCATATGGAGTGTGGGAAGTTGACCTATTGCACTCCCCTGTGTAAAGTTCCATGTTGAATCTCAGGTAGTCAGCCAACTCTTACACTTTTTTTTAAATTTGTAAATTCATTGAACTCAACAACAGTAAAATAGTCAGCATATTGTGTTATAAAAAATAAAGTCGATAATGTCTCACGTGTAAAAATTCTGATATTTTATTTGTTGTTCTCTCGTATCCAAGTATATCAAATGATGATAGATAAGTACATAGTTTCCAGTAAAGTAATTTAAACCGTTTATTATGCATGTGATATAAAAACTTGAATTCTGTTTTGACTTGTTGAAAGCATTTTGAAAATCAAATAAAAACATTAAAAAAATTTTTAAAAAACTATTTCAGTGTGAATATCGTATGATTCTGCTGTTTATAAGTTAAACACTTCAAATGATTGATTGTTTTTCAAGGTTTAAGATCTACTCTTGTTAACTGTGGAAGTCTGCTGATAGATATTACAAGATCACTTACTGTCGTCAGTCAAAAATAATCAGTATAGGAATATCTAGTCAATCAAACGTATTTTGTACACTAACCTGTTGACTGATGAACATTTTTCAAATATCGTTTCGATTCTCCATTAATTATTATTATTATTGTTGTTGTTGGCTTCCGAGTAGAACATAAGGCTTCAACAGAACATCTCCATTTTATTCTGTTTTATACAGTCGTCTGTAGCTGGCTCCTTCATGTCACCCTCTGAAGGAACCACGCCCAACTCGTCGTTTCCCAACAGCGTTTCACTCGAAGCCTGGCTGAGCGCACGATGTCACTCATTAGACTCCAATCTATCTCCATTTCCTTTGGGATATTGGTTGAGCAATAGGTTCTTGGTTGCTAATTCTTCTCTGCCTGTAATCTGATCTTCAGTATGGAGTTAGGGAAGGCAGTTGTTGATAAAATGTGAAGTCAGAGCCATAATGAAGAACTGGCTTGACATTAGTGTTGAAAATCCGAATCTTGTTCTCTATGCTGAATGCAGTAGTAGATTTCCAGACTAACTTCATACAATTAAATGTATGTCTTGCCTTTCCGATCTTGGCTTTGACATCTTCACTTGTGTCGCTTGTAGTTGAATAAATAAGAGGAAGTGATTAATCCCATCCCGTCGACAGTGATTGAAGCGGTATCCACTAGACCACTTGGATCATAATTAAATTACGTAGAATCTTCTAATTGGGAAGTTCGCCAGACCTTATTTGTAAGAGCTTATGATGCTACTCATTTTCACAAACCGATATAACTGATAACACGTCGTCAGATTTGTTGTATCTACAAATAATAATAATAATAATAATAATAATAATAATAATAATAATAATAATAATAGTAATAATCAATAGGATTTGCGTTTAGATGCTGAAATGTAATATTCAACTTGACTGAAGACTGAATACAGCGATTCTCCTCCTTCAGTTTTACCTCCAGCTGCCAGTGAGGAGAACATGATCTGTCATCAGATGACAAAAATATATCATATATCTATGTATGTGCACTACCAATAACTAATTTATAATTGGTCCTATAACGTCGTATATCAAAAGCTGTTCACAATTAAATTATAATAAAATCTTCTGCTTTAGCCTAATAACTTGAATTGTCAATGCTGGTTTAAGTTAGTCTAAGTCGGTTTTAAGAGGTTACTTCCTTCGCCTTATGTAGAAAGTATCATTTCAACTAAAGACGGAACAGATAATGTGAAATCCAGAATCGAAAAGGCGAGATACACCTTTATCACTCTGAAATCAGTGTGAAAGTCTCCTGCACTCCGCCGAAGCATAAACGATAGAATTCGTATTTTCAACACCAATGTGAAGTCAGTTAGTTCTCCTATATATGGGTCAGAAACTTGGCGAGTGTGTCACGAAAAGCTTTTCAAACAGGCTGCTGAAGACTTTTGGTCAACAGCTGCCGCTTTATCTGGTTCCATACTGAAGATTAGATGGCCGGCCAGAAAGAATTAGCAACAAGAAATACTGGGAACGACCTAATCAGGAACCTTTGCTCAATAAATATGTAGAGGGAAATGGCGCTGAATAGGACACAAACTGATGAGGCCGTTGAGAGTAACATCGTGCGCAATGCAGACCTTCTGGTGGAATCCGAATAGGAAACAACGAGGGTAGCATGGAGGAGATCGTGCGAAGAGGAGACCAGCGATTATGGAGATTCGTCGGACCAGCTAAAGAGGAGTGCAGGAAACAGGACGAATTGGTGATGTTCTGTTGAAGCCCTATGCTCCATTCGGAACCCTAGGAAACAATAATAATAAATCGGTTTTAACCTTCAAAATATAATTATTTTCAGATGGTACATAGTTAAGGGGCTTACAACACGAATTCAAATAGGTAGGAGAAGTGTGGGACCTTTAAACTGCTTATTGCTTGAAAGTCATTTGCTTAATCTGATAAACCCCACTCCATAATTAAAAATTTATATTAATTAGTCCATCTGAAAATAGTCATTTATTTACTGAATTCAATTCTGAACAATCTGTTCGCACATTTACTTGTCAAGTCAATTTATATGAAAACTTAAAGGCCAATTAAAATATACAAAGTGACAAAAAGGATTTAGGAATAAGAATAATTAACACTACGTTTGGTTATTTAATCAGATAAGGTAGGTTAAGAGTAACAATAAATTGTCTTTGTACACACCGGGGGGATGGGGGGGCTTAAGTTTATGAATGCGTATCACCTCAGAATATTTCATTTAGCGCCTGTGATTTTTTATAAATAATCTTAAAGGCTGTTTTGACATCAATGTTATAGTTTATATCGATTAGGTAGGTGTTAAGCTGTAGACAAAGTAGGTTGTCTGCCACCTACGTTCATCGACTTTCCAAAATTCATCTGTTTTTCCAGTCATTTCGGCATTTGCTCTTCCACCCTGACATTCAATGCGCCAATACTCTCCTCTACATAGGTTTATCCACACACACACACACGTAAATTGGTATGTAGTGTGGGATGTGACAATCACTTGTACACTTTTGAGGTTTGTAGTGGAGCATATTTTTGGCCTTTTCAATAATTATAAACCGGGCTGCATAATAGGTCCTACGGATGACCGAGTTTAGTCTCTGTCTTAAAATCCTACTAATTCCCCATTATCTGGTAATTTAATGAGAACATCTTTCTTAGGGACAGAAGAAATTGCAGGTTTTAAAATCTAACTGATTTTCTCACCGGTTTAAAAATTTTACAGGGTATACGTTTTCAACAAGAGTATCCATAAGTATTTTATTTTCATCCTCTGTAACATCGGCAGTACAAGTACGCTGAATCCTCTTGAATAAGCACTTCAGCAAACCTCTCTTATACTGAAGTGGACAGGAGCTGTGAAAATTTAAATACTGCCTTGTCTAAGTAGACTTTCTATAAATTTATCGCTTTATTGAACCATCTTCTCTCTGACTCACAAGTATGTTTGAAGCTGCCAGTTGGTTGCCACTTTTCTCCCCGCACTTGAGACTCATGTGATTTTGTACTGAGATGAGTCTCATCTTCATGATCATCACATATCAAAATAATGTCATCTACACATCTCTTATAAAAAGGCACTTTAACAATTAAACCAACCGACAAGTTTCTAATGTAAGATATATAAACTTGAGCCCTCCAACCCCTACTGTGTGTACAAAAACAATTTATATAATTACTCTTAACCTACCTTGGTAATCCTTATCTGATTATACTTATTATTCTTGAATCCTTTTTGTCACACTGTGTATTTTAATTGGCCTTTAAGTTTTCATATGAATAGACTTTACAAGTGAACGGTGTGATCAGATTGTTCAAAATTGAATTGAGTAAATACGTGACAATTTTCAGATGAAAATCGAAGCAGATATTCAATGTTTGAAGTAATTTTCTAGTTGTAATCGTTAGTACAGGCGTTCTATCTCCCACGTGGAGTGGTATAATAAGATGAGCAAAATTGAGGTTAGGCGTCGAGTGCTAGGTAAGGCGGGGAAATCAGTCGACGACACTGTGAAATTACATCGACTGAGATGGTTAAAACATGTGTTACGTATGCCTAGTCATCGCCTTCCTCGATGTTAGCTGATATAGGGCCAGGCTGGAAAAGAGCTAACAGCGGTCAAACGAAAACATGGCACCAGTCAATGAAATCTACAACAGTTAGTCTAAGCCACGTAGGAAGATGTAGACTTCCTGGTTGGGGTCCTCGGGATGGTAAGAACCAATGGTTGCTGGAGACAATTGGTGACATGGCTCAAAATCGTTCTCAATGGTGCAGATGCATCATCTCCTTGTGACTGATGATTTCCAATGAAACTGTTTTCTTCTTCTTTATTACTATTCCTTTGTCTCACACCTCTGTTTACTGTCTCTAATATGCATTTCTTCTACTTTCTTCTCTTTCTTTGTTTGCTACATGGAGTGTGGCGACTTGAACTGCCTCACATATGTGCAAAGCTCTATGTCGAAAACCGACTGACCGAGTACAGGCGAAATATTTGATGATTGCACATTCTCTTTATGATCTCAGTCGTCTCGTGTCTGAAGTTTATTCTTGTTTATGCCTAGATATATACACTATCGATCGGTACATGGTGTTTTATTAAACTTCTAATATTCAGATCTGTATCGCCAGTTCAGTCTAAAGTGTTTCATATTGTTTGATTCTGTTATTGATCTATTATAAGGTACAGCTCATTTGATTTGAAATATTTTGATTGAAGTCCACTTCCAAAATAAATATGAGCTGTTCTGCTTGATATATGTAAGCCACACGCACACACACACGCACTGTAGGTGGATACAGTTTGCTCAAAGAAGTCTAACTTGTATGTGGTTTATATCATCTTCATGTTATTTACAGATAAACTGTAATTACTAAACAGAGAGTTGTTGTTGTTGGTGGTGGTATCAAGTTTCTCTTAGATAAACTGAACTCGTCACATGAACAATTTAGATAAAGCAATAAGAAGGAAGACGTAGTTTGTCTGAATCGTGTAATGTATTTGCAGAGGTAATAGTACATCATCTGCTATTACCTCTGCTATTTAGTGGTTTAGTGGTCTTCATTGTTATTTTGACCTTGAATATGTCTATTTTCTCACCTCTTACCTCTTCATTAATTTCACACATACATATTCCTATGACAAGTTCGTGGCTGTGTGATCAGATTGTTCGAAATGTGTTGCGCAAATACAGCATTACACAATTCAGACAAATTACGTCTTCCTTCTTATTGCTTTATCTAAATTCATAAAGGGAACTAATTGTTTTCAATACATGAACAATTAGGCAGGTTCATCGTCGTATTTCCGAACATCATCCAACATGGTTAAGCAAGGGACAAACAAGATCTGTTCGTAGTTCTATTTTAGCACACCTTGTTGATACTGAGCATAAGATTGATGTTAATACTGCATTTAAAATTATTTATCGCATTCAGACTAATCTTAATTTTGCTCTACGAGTTCGTCTTCTACAGACAACTGAAGCAATCGGAATCCACCTGAAGAAGCCAAACCTGTGTGTTCAGAAGAAATTTGTGCAGCCGCCTTCCTTGCCTTGGCCATCGTTACATGAATGTATAAACCGGACTACTTCACCCCCCTCCCCCTAAACCTTTAAATTATAATTGTCCAAATTATTTTATTTTTTCTGACCACTTCATCTTTAATTACGTGTTATCCTTGTAAAATTAATTTATTCTAACCATTTCCACCTTTTAAATGTGTATTGATTTTCTTCGTTTATTATCAACCCATTGACATTTTGACACTGACTAATTATTGTTAACAAACATATCAGTGTCACTTGATTGGTAAACTGTTGTGTATTGTATTAAAAATGCTATATATATTAGAGTCAGAGATGAGGATCTAATTGAAAAGTAAATGTTTCTTCGCTCAATCTTTCTGTTTTCCAATTGTTTATTTCTCACACCCCGCGAAAAAATGACCTAGTTCATTGCATTTTGTTTGTTTTTTGTTTCTGCTACGTTTTATTACCACACTTAGTACTATTATTTAAAATAACACCTAGATGCCTGAGTAAATTGTATTGTACTCAGTTAAATCACGTGTTTAAGCTTTTCAATGGTCCTACTAGTAGAAGTTGTTGTTGTTGTTGTAGGCGTCTCTGTTTGGTTTTTCTGTGTAACCTAAGCAATTCATTATCTACGATTCAATTGTCTATGTATTCTTATTTTTTATATCTAATATCTAATAATATTCTACTAGCCTTCCCACTTCGATCTGAGCTATCTGAGAAACTGACAGTTGAAGAGAATCGTTCAGAAAATATTCTTGATGTCTTACAGACTGTTAAATGTGATCTGGCTTCATCTCAAACTTCTATTAAGGCTAAATCACAGAAGTTAAATATTTATATACAAGAAGTGTAAGTTATCTTTTTTCTAATTATTGATTTTACTTTCTTAATGAACATGCATGTACGCTTTGAGTGAAATATGTCGAAATGGTGCAGTAAATGTATATTTATGTATAACCTTCGATACGAGTTTAAAAATGATGTATAAGAACAAATTGCTAAAGTAAGCAGATAATTTCTGTTTCCACTATATTCATTCAGCCACTGGTTGGTACCTGATACAATTTGCCGATTTGTGATGTGTAGCGCAACAAACAACCAATGTCATCAGTGTATAACTGTCCTCTTAGTTGACTTGGTGAATGAACCTCGCTAGTCGTGACTTCTTACTAGATCTTCGGGTAACTCTTTTTTCTTCCCGGTCTCTACTGGTTTTTGCAGCAGTTCGATTGATCACAGGTTTGGTGACGAAGTGACATTAACTCGGAGAATCATTGGAAAACCAGGGAGTAATGGACAATTGTTTCGTCCTGGTTTTGGACCCGTCAGCAGTACACTGAATGATGTAGGAGTTCACCTTGTAAACAGAAGGTCCTGGGTCCGATTGTCAGTGAGTACATTCTCCTGAAGAGTCCGGAACTGAGATAAAGCATCTGTTCAGTACTCCTAGGTTTTCCAGTGGTTGTTCTGTAACTGATGTTAGCTCATGATCAAATACGTAATCAGTTAAATTCCTGAAAATCAACACACTTGGAATTTAGATAAATTAACTAGAATTTTTTGGATATGGTTGTGTTCTCTGAACTGAATAGTTAGTTTGCGAAGCTTTCATTGCCCTACTAGGCAACATCTTCAGGGCACACTTCAATTTGAATTGAAGTGAGCTTCTAGATTTCACTACCACTTTATTAATCATTTCTCCCAGTGACCTTGGACGTGATTAGTTGCTTTTGTGTGTGTTCACACCCTCTAGGCTACTTCTACTAGTATTGATTGTTTCCTCGACCTGAAGTTTGACACTTTGTGTGTGTGATTTTCTTCTTATCGATTGGTAAATTTTGTCTATCTTGATGTATCTATTGATTGACGATTCATTGGAATACGAGTCCAGGCTTCTAAAAATTCTCTAGCATTCTTGGTGTTTCCTCTGTTTAATATTTGAACGCTGGTTGTCCCAGTCGAATTGATGTCCATGGTTGTCTGTATGCAGTGATATGAGCGAGGGAGTGGATGTCATGTCTTTTGACGGCTAGTTTATGTTCATGAATACGAAGACGAAGGGGGCGTCCACTTTGCCAATTTATTTTGTAGATGATGTTGGTTTTGTCTTCTTTCGTTGTTGAGTCTCTTGCTTGACATTTCATCAAAAACTAACTTATTTAAGTTTGACGATAAGAGGAATGTGGTTTGAATTTAATAAATGAGAGTGTTATGATAAGAAGAAGATCTCTTTGATTCATTGGTGAGGGCCTATGGCGAGTTGTCATCTGAAGTGGTGACGACTAGTGGCGTCCGTCAAGGATGCCCATTATCCCCATTCCTATTCAACTTCATCATAGACGTATTAATGGACTTAACCCTAACATACTTCAGCGACTCAGGGATTGACTTGCTACCAGGGAATAATCTCATCGACTTAGAATATGCGGACGATATAGTCCTTCTAGGCGAGGACGCTGACAAAATGCAGAGTCTACTGAACACCTTGAGCAACAATCTTCGTATGTTTGGCATGCGATTCGCCCCTGTAAAATGTAAGATGATGCTGCAGGATTGGACTTCACCGACCCCTAGATTAGGAATAGGAAGTGAAGTGGTAGAGCACGTTGACCACTTCATTTACTTGGGAAGTACCATCAGCCCCAACGGGTTGATCTCCGACGAAATCTCAGCACGAATACAGAGGGCTAGTTTCGCATATGCCAGTTTACGCCGTCTCTGGCGTAGACGTGATATCCGCCTATCGACCAAAGGGCGTGTGTACTGCTCAACAGTCCGCTCCGTCCTCCTTTATGGCTGTGAGACATGACCATTGAGAGTGGAAGACATGGAAAGATTATCTGTGTTCGATCATAGGTGTCTGCGTTCTATCTCCGATATGAAGTGGTATAATAAGGTGAGCAATATTGAGGTTAGGCGTTGAGTGCTAGGTAAAAAGGGGAAATCAATAGACAAGACTGTGAAATTACATCAACTGAGATGGTTAGGACATGTATTGCTTATGCCTAGTCATCGCCTTCCTCGACAATGAGCAATGTTAGCTGATGTAGGGTCAGGCTGGAAAAGAGCTAGCGGTGGTCAAATCAAAACATGGCACCAGTCAATGAAATCCACAACAGTTAGTCTAAGCCACGTAGGAAGGTGTAGACTTCCTGGTTGGGGTCCTCGGGACGGTAAAAACCAATGGCTGGAAACAATTGATGATATGGCTCAAAATCGTTCTCAATGGCGCAGATGCATCCACTCCTTGTGACTTGTGATTTCCAATTAAACTGTTTTCTTCTTTGTTATTACTATTCCTTTGTCCCACACCTCTGTTTACTTTCTCTAATGTGCATTTCTTCTACTTTCTTCTCTTTCTTTGTGTGCTACATGGAGTGTGGCACATATGTGCAAAGTTCTATGTCGAAAACCGACCGACCGACCGACCATTGGTTAACATCGATCTACGTAACTATACGGAGGTGTAATAGGAACTAAAAGAGTAATACAATGTATGTCATAAGGCAATCAGCCCAGACGACTTATTTCTTTATCTTCCTGGAAGTGTAGATAGAACTCTTGTCCACAAGCTTACTAGACTGTTTGAGAATGGTATGGGGGTGTGTGTGAAGAGTATCGCATCATTTTAGAGTCAAGACGTCTTAATGTATCTGGCTTTGAAAATTGCTTAAGTAACATGTATGATAATCATCAGGTTATTGATTGTATGCAAAATATTGGCTGTTGTTGCCTTTTACTTACTTTATCAATATGCATGGAAGAAAGTTTATTCATCATAGAGAGCAGGCTTTTTTTTTTGTTTAACTCAATGACTGTATGCGTATTAACCTAAAGCCAGCTGCTTGAACCACATATAGCCTAATAACAATCATTGTATTTTTGGAGTGGGTGTCTTTAAATAGGCACATCAAGTGCGTCTCTGGCACAGTGGTTAGGACTCTCACCGACCATGCACATGGTTCGGAGTTCGATCCCCTGCCGATGCACACCCGATATCTATGGTCGGCCTACAAAATTTGGGCCACCGATATCCATGGTGAAAATGCCATACCTGTACTAATAATACGGTGTGGCATCAAGCTGTAATCAAAAATAAAATAAATAAAATAAATAGTGACCGTACAACACCAACCACCCATGACGATTGTTTAAAATTAACAGGGGTGTTAGAGGAGACTGTTGAATTTTATGATTCTTCTTTGACCTCTGTCTGTGATTGATTATTTCCACATACACTTTCGGAGTGTGTTTGTGCGGTAGTGTTGTAGATTTGTTACCCGGGAAATATCTAATCTTAAACATGTATGCATTATCGTTTTTCAGTGTGATAATTTACAGAAAAGCGAAATTTCACATGATTGGTGATTATCCACTGTAATTATGATATTTACTTCATACTGTCAAGGATTAATGTGATCTTAATCCTTCGCTTATTGTTGTCGATGAAGCGTTGATAGTTCTTGTTTCAAGGTAGTCTTAGGTCACTTAGTGAGGCAGTCACCTTAAGATACGTGTTTCGATGCTTTGGATATGTGTTATGAGTGCTGTGCGAAGTGGTAAACAGTGTTAACCACTTCACTTATTTGGGAAGTTGCATCAGCCCCAATGGGCTGATTGTTGATGAAATTTCAGAACGGTTGCAAAGGCTCACGTAGCACTCACCAACTTACGTCATCCCTGGTGTAGATGTAATATCAGGCTATCGATCAAGGGATGCACGTACTGCACAACAGTTCCTTGTGTTTTTCTTTATGGCTGTGAGACACGGTCGTCTGAAGTGGAAAATATCAAAAGGGTAGCTGTCTTTGTTTGACCACATATGTTTGCGCTACCTACCGTGTTAATCGGTGTAATGCATGAGTGATATTTAAGTTGGGTGTGGGGCGTTAGGTGCGGAAGGTAAGCCAATCGATGAGGTTGTTAAGGTGAATGGATTGAGGTGAATAAGACATGTGTGTCGCATCCCGGACTATCGTCTTCGGTGACTGGTGGTGTTATTCGACGTTGGATTATGCTGGAAAACGGTTAGTGGTGGTCGAACTGTAACCTGGGATCAGTCCATGAAGTCTTTGACACCTGTTTTGAACCAGCCGTGTACGGAGGTGTAGACTGCGTTGTTGGCGCCTCCAGATTCTGAGGGTCAGTGGTTGGAGATTAGTTTTGATATGGCTCAAGAGCGTTGTCATTGGTGCACGTTCACTGACTCTTTGTAATCTCTCATACCCACCAAACCCTGGTGTTTTCTCGTGTTTCTATTTCTCCCTTCATATTTGTGTTTTGCTGTAGTTCTTTCAGATATCTTTTGTCTATCTTTGTGTGCAGTATAGAATTAGGGGACTTGAACTACTGCTCTTTTGTGTAGTTCTCTACTCTGTTGAAACTGGAAGCCCTTATTCCCACTTTTCAACTCTGTCTATTCAGTCAGTTTTTTATCTTTATTGTTAATAAAATTTTCTATGGGCCTTACCAGACTACTAAGTTGTTAGACATTTTGTATATATGTTTTAGTAAAAAAGAACTACTCGAGATGGAAGAAACATTTAACCTTTCAAGTACTTGTTCTTCAACTACTACTCCCCCACCTGCTTCACACGAAGAACGAATCAATCCAGAACGTTTTCGTTTTTCTTGGAATGGTCTATGTGCCTCGGATCTGATTGATAGATATGTGAATATGAGTCAAACAGTAAACAATCTAGCTGATCAATTGGATTCATTGGAACTTAAAGTCGATTTGTCTTACGGGCGTTGAAGAGACTTTTGTAAATAAAACTTCATTTATTTATTTTTCCAGAAAATAAATCACTTTTTTCTTCTTATGTCTTCCCTTTTGAAATTGAAAATTTTCAATGAATAGAAGACGTCTTAATTGATTAAAGATGCGCATTAGAAATTTCAAAAGATCGATAACCTCTTGTTCATGGGGTTCTATAGTTATACATCCATAATAATGAAAGAATTATTATTACTGTCAGCGATGTTTTCAAAATTAACATCGAATTACTGAAGTCAGAATTCTAAAGGTTGTATGTAACTAGACTGTTAATAGATTTTAGTCGAAAATCTCATGTCGGTCGGTCGGTCGGTTTTCGACATAGAACTTTGCACATATGTGCGACAGTTCAAGTCGCCACACTCCATGTAGCACACAAAGGAAAAGAAGAAAGTAGGAGAAATGCATATTAGAGACAGTAAACAGAGGTGTGAGACAAAGGAATAGTAATAAAGAAGAAGAAAACAGTTTAATTGGAAATCATAAGTCACAAGGAGTGGATGCATCTGTGCCATCCATTGAGAACGATTTTGAGCCATGTCACCAATTGTTTCCAGCCTCCATCGGTTTTTACCGTCCCGAAGACCCCAACCAGGAATTCTACACCTTCCTACGTGGCTTAGAGTAACTGTTGTATCATATAAATGCAACACTAAATGAAACACGAATATTTTTCAAAGTAAATGATAATGAATGACAAGAAATATATATATGTTAATGAAATCTCATGAGTCGTGTTCATTTTGAATTCCATTCATATGGACGATAATCTCAAGGACGGGGAGAGAAATTGGTGTAGAAGGTTATGCGCTTTGGATGTGTGTAAGTTACTGACTTCGTTGTTCTAGGAACTTAATTTTTCGTGCTTGGGAACACACCTATCAATATGGCTAAACAAGGGTGTAGTGAGGATTATATAGACAGTTCGATATTAGATCATCTGATCCAAACCGGCCAGGAAGAATCTTTCTGCATCATCTATCGGGTACCAAATAAACTGTCGAAATCATCCACATACTGAATACTGCAAACAGCAGATGCTATTGCAATTCACCTAAACAAACCGGTGATCTGAGTGCAAACGAAACAGGTTCAGCTGCTATTCTTGCCATGGAATCTACAAATTCATAAATACTGCATTACGTCGACCTTTTAAGTATCCCCCTCCACCCTGTATATATACATTCCCTTACCCTTTATTATTACACTTTCATAAACTGACCCTTTGTTTTCTTACTAAAACATAGTCATTAACATATACACTGGCACAAACACAACTCACATAACCTTCTACCCCAGTTTCTCTTCCGGCCCTTGAGATTATTATCCATATGAATATATGTTTCTGAAATTTATTGTGCCCAGGGTACAGAAAGCGTCAAATAAACGGTTTCTATTGGCATTCTATAGAGAGATGTCTATAGAAAACCTACATCTGTAGGCAATATACACATTTCCTCAGTTTTGTACCAATCCGATACAAAGTCACTTTGGTCATATGCCTTACGAATAGAGCAAGACGTATCTGTACAGATGACTCTCTACAAACTGAGTTAGGATACATCCAAAATACGCTGGTCCAAATGAGTTATCCTAGTAGATTTGTAAGGAGACACATGAACACCAAGTACAATAAAGAGAAACTGACAACAGTTGAAACGAAACAACTGTTCATGAAATTGCAATTTAATGAGGACGTGGCTAGCGAAATCTTACATCTGAGATTATCGAGAGCGATAAAACGGACTTATACTGCCGCCACCCTTTGTTTGTCATTTTCCAGCTGACCAATTATGATTGCTCAAGTGAAAGATAAGCTACCTAGTTAGCTGTGCCACTTCTATGTGTGTATCTATAAATTTAGTTGCTCCTATGGAGGGAGCTGTATAGAGTGAACAACTAGACAGCTTAACAAACGCATTATTGAGCATTTTCCTTCATGCTTTGGAAAAGGTCAAATAAAATCTATAAGAAGTTCTATTTTGGCTCATTTGACTGATAGCGGACACCAAGTGGACAGAAATAGTGCATTCAAAGTTATGTCACATTCCATCGAGTCTTTTGAACGGAATTCGAACCCGTCTTTTACACATAGCTGAAGCTATAGAAATTATTTCCAGGGAACAACAACAAAAGAAGTTTGCTCTACCTTTGTCTCTCCCTTGCTTGTCTAGATAAAGTCTAATTAAAACCCTCCAACCCTTTCTTATTTTCCATTTTTCCGTACTTTTATGATATTTATTTAAGCTCTGATTATTTGTCCACTTCACCTTTAGTATTACGCAACTTTTAAGATTTGACCAAATTTATTTATTGAATTGTCTACATATACACATATTACTACCTTTGTTATTCTTATGGCCACCTGCATAAACCTTATTATCAATATTTTGTTATCATTATAATCATCGTTATTAATGACGTTCAAAACATTTACCACATTATGATTATTTGATCCACAAAATCACCGTCATTGGTTAAAAATTTTTATATATAAATCTATGTAAATTAGAGTAAAGCCTGAAGAAGATCTAATTGAAAACAACGATATTGTTCGCTTATATGTCTTGTTCTAATATTAAAAATGGGAATATTTTAAGATCAGACCTTATGCATGCGTGTCTGGCAAATATTCTACCACTGGGACCACTGACTCTCAAAAGAATATGTTAATGCTCGGAATCTGTTTGTCACTTCAGAAGACTATTCATACGGATCATACTCATGGCTATATAATATTTGTGGGGTGTTCTATTGACAAGATTTATAAGTAGTATATAAGGAGATGGCACAAAAATATCAGATAGCGGAGAGATTGATTTGACGTCAAAGAGAGGAAATCAAGTAGTATTGGCAGCGAAACACGGGTATGGGCAGAAGTAGCACAACACCGAAGATCTGTGCAAATGACAATTTACACATAAGATATACATAATTTCCCCTTCAGGATTTCTCCAACTGCCAATAAACATTCCGTCAACAAAATTCGTGTCTTCTCCGGTTACATATTTAAATGATCCGGTTAGGAAAGTGTGTGTGTGTGTGTTTTAATTGTTAGTATTATGCAATCCAGTAAATAGCGCAGGTTTTTTGATCCTTGTCATTTTTTTACAATATTATCAGTAGTAATTTTGACTGATGCAAAAACGGAAAAGATATATGTAGGAAATAAATCAGATCAGTTATATTGCACGTCATCTGCAAACAAATTCTCTAGTCACAAAAGTGTTATTACAGAATATGAGTACATAATTAGTGTATTCAAGCTGAAGTCTTGAAGGCACTCATGTCCATTCTGAGGTTCGAACCCGTATCAATCACTGCTACTGATAGGGACGTTATCACTGAACTGTTGGGGCTTGCAGTTTACCTCCTGTATGACTGTATTGGACACTGAGTGGTAACTAGTGTCACGCGGCTAGTCCTTCGTTTAGTGCCTCCAAATATCTCATGATAACCAAAATTCAGAGTGCACCGCGATAGCAAGCCACCTCGTAAAACACGTGAAGAATGGGGGGGGGGAGGGAGAACTGTATGACTGATGCACTGTGCAGAATGCACGCGAATACAATGCAGCAAAACACCAGAGACTTTAAAGCCCTAATGGAGATTACTGGTAAAGTCCATAAATTAGTAACGCTAACACAATAGTTCTGTAGCTGACAAATTAAAAATTATTTGTTTCCAAACCTGCGTCGGTGGTACAGAGGTAGAATGCTGGTCAGCCACTCACGTGTTCCGTGGTTCGATGCTTGACCGACGCACTTCTAAGCTCCATTTATCTGGTAATAAGTTTGGTAAAGAGGGAAGGCTGGGCGTGAGACTAGCAACCCCACCTCGTAAAAATAAAGCCACTGCTACCGGAACTTCATAGATGTAACTTGAAGCTCTATGTTTCACTGGGAACGTAACTGAATAAAATTTTAAAAAATAAAATACATCTGTTACGCAGACTAATGCAGTTTATCAGGCATCCTTATGAGAAGAAATCGTATTATACCAGCAAATCACATTCTGAGTCATCCGACAAACATTTCAATATTGGTAGATGTTATATTCGCTAAGGTGAACACCTTAATGGTAAGAGATTCAGAAAGATTTCATACATTTATTCCCCTTAATGAACTTGAACAAAGCAACATGTTAACCCCAACTGTATATACAAATTTACATGTATCTGCTGGAGCAGTTACATTGGAAGAACAGAAAGAAGGGCATATCTACGATTTTCTGAACATGTACCAAAAAGCTTACGTTTAAAGGGAACAAATGCCTTAAACAGTGCCATCGCCAGGCATCTTCTTGACATGGGTCAGGAGGTGGACTTTGAAAAGTCGTTCAAAATTATCAATAGACAAAAGAGCTCAATTCTCCACAAGTTTGCTGAAGCCATTTCCATCAGGCACCTGAAACCTGATTTGTGCATTCAGAAAGAAGCGGTTATCAGTCTTTCTGTGCCCTGGTAACTGGATATTTTTAATCCGAATGCGAGATGCTGAAAAGTTTTCATTGTGTATGATTATTATTGTTCGGAATTGTGTTTAATATTGCATATATATATTTATATATTATTAGTGTATGCGTATACTGATCGATTGATTTTTGTTTAAAATGAACTCTGGGCAAGTATGTTAAATTGTTTTTGTCGATACATTTAATAATGTCTTTGACCTGTAAGCAGCTGACGAGAAGGCAACGAAATAAAAGATGGTACCATTTTATTCTACTAAAACTGTAGTTGTTGCTTTGTTCAGATTCAGAAAGAAGTTCACTTTTGTTTCGGTGGGTGATTCAAGTAAACTGAATTGTGAATAACTGTCATGATTGGTATCACATGCATCATTTCTACTCTTGAGAGGGAATTCACTTAGACCGCATTAGTTGGCGAAGAGATCTCTTTTCAGAAATTCACTTCGAAACTGTACGATTATTTAGGAGGTTTATATATATTATGCAATAGGAGACTGTCGAATGAAATCGCATTCCAGGCCCTCTAATGGGACCCGAATATGGAACGACAGGTAGGGTGTCCGAGAGTA